TTTTGAATGTTTTTAATCAAGTGTGATACAGTGAAAAGAAAAGTTTCACATTCAATGTGTCACTTTGATTTATAAGTCTTCAAGGTAATATGATATGTTCTCCATGCAATTTTAGAGCTACTGGATGATGGTTGTGGAAGAATAACGAGAGATGGTCGAAGAGGACCGAAAAGACCGAGAACCATTCTCACGTCAGCTCAAAGACGCCAATTCAAAGCTTCCTTCGAAGTGAGCCCGAAACCGTGCAGAAAAGTGAGCAAAAATCGACATCAAAAAAGAGGATAGAACAACTTGACGAGTGTGATTAACAAATTGTTTCCCAGGTTCGAGAAGCACTGGCCAAAGAAACTGGCTTGAGCGTTCGCGTGGTTCAAGTTTGGTTCCAAAATCAGCGCGCTAAAATGAAGAAGATGGAGAAAAAGCAGAAAGAGAGAGAAAGCAGAGAAGACGGGAAAGATGGAGAAAAAGAACCTAATAAAAAGGGGAGAAAAACGAAGGCTGCCGCTTTGGTCAAAGAAGTTGACAGTGATTCCGACACCGAATTCAATGGTAAGCGTACATGTTCTCGTACTGTATAATCCTTTCAAGAATTTCTATGGAGATCATTATTTTCAATTTTTCTCCCATTTCATAATACAGCCCTTCACCAATTTGTTCGTATTCACAGAAATAAACTTTTTCTAGACTTTTACCGACAGGAATTTTGTAATCTTGAATAAGTTTAGAGTATTATTTACAAACAATTAATGAGAGGGTGGAAATCGGAAAACGAATGCTGCTTTGAATACGCAATAATCGAGTGAGTTGAAGTTTTCCACAAATCTTCCTCAAGTTTTGCCTTGAAGTACAGTATCTTAAATAGCCGATGCCAAAGCTTAAAACTTTTTTAAAATTGTATTCCCCAGCATTCCTGTAAGAATCAGAATTTGAAAATCTTTACAAAAGGTGACATCCTGAAAATTTCTATTTTTGTTCCAGATTAATCGGTCACAGAGATCCTTAGAGTGAACAACGTCCTGTAACTTTTCTGTCAACTTATTTACAGCAGTTAATTAAACCATGTTCAAAATTACGTCAATCAGGTTAGTTCGAGCTGGAGGTGTCGTGTTTCATCCCAAATTACAACTATATATTTTTAAAATGTAGTCATCTGCGATTCGGACTCGGATTTTTTAAAATCAATTCGCTCCTAAGCTTTGGATTGTTTAAGCATAGTAAAAATTGAATACAATAATTTTAGCGAACTTATTGAAACCCTGTGAAATGAGGATGAATGGTGAATTTTTGGGATACAAGGCTGTTCATTGGGTTAACCCGCATTACGAAAGACTCGCTCAACGAAAATTCTGCGTTGTGAAATTTCTTGACAGTACGCACTGCTTTTTGTATTTTTTACAGTTATCAGCTTTTGATGCAGTAAAATGACAATTTAATAAGAAGAGACCCGAACACAGTCAAAAATCTTTGCAGTGAACCTAAAGCTATCGCTGGTCGTGTCAAAAGGTGAGTAGCGTCAAAAGCTGGCTCAAAACAAAAACAAAAAAAAAGTTTCGAAGCGGGTAGATCCGGTAATGATCCCTCTTGCAATGGAACGGTTTAAAAAGGCTCCTAATAAGGTGTCATCTTGGGGTTTTCTAAGTGCAAATACCCTGACCTGAACTTTTGTATTATTCTCATAGGTGATCAGTATCCTGCGCATTCAGGGGACAGCTTTTGCGGATCAGAGCTTTCTTTGGATGACAGTGGGGGCTTCGAAACTGTGGAGGATCTGACGGATGCCGGACCGGGCTCGAATGGACT